TTGCTTCACTAAACAAAAGACACAATGGAGAATGTAAATCCTGCCTACATGTGTGTTGACTCAATAAAGATAAAAGAGAAAAAATGATCTACTGGAGAAGAAAGAAACACAATGCCTGGAAGCCTTACTGCATTATATTCGTTATATTCTAAACTAATGTAAAGTCACATAAAGTCAGCAGTCAGAGAATTAAAACGTGAACACTAGGTGAAATTATTATTTTCATTTTAACATATATGTTATCCAGCACCCATGATATGACTGACACGTTCTTTGTTTTACTCAGAACCGAACCCATAAATTAAAATTAGACAAAATACTACTCGCGAATCATCCTTTTTGAGGGTCACCTTCTGGGTACCCACATATACCCAACCTGATGCAGGCCTCTACTGTCAGATTCACTGTCCCATTTATCACCAATGTTGAATCCCATCTTAAAGGAGCAGTGGGTAACATCTCCTATGAAGACCACATCAGTGATGCAATATAAGTCCATTCATAATTATAATGCATTTATAATGCTCTGTGACTAAACTCATAAACACACATAATGCTTCCTGATGCACTACATCAATAGTCATAAAACATTATAGATGCCACTTTCAAGGAATTATAAGTGCCTTATGGATGCTCCTGACTAGTTAGGGTTAGGGTTCAAAAAGGTAAAAAAGTAAACAGACATTAGCCATGTTTCCATCAGCCTGTTTAGATGCGCATCTAGAAGTATCGCATCGGAAAATTATGATGGAAACGCCAAAACTCGAATTAAAATCTCCTGATTCGCACAAACTAAAATACGCTCGCTTTAGCTGGGTTTTGGTTGATTCGAAAAAACGTGGGATGGAAACAGTTCGAATTAAGTCTGACGTAGCTCACCTCTCTCTATGGTGATATCCACATTCCGGGTTGGGAAGGTGGTAATGCATTCACAAGCTGGTTCACAACTGCCAGAAAACGTAGAAGAAGAAGAATGTGAGGCTTGTTTTGTTTCTGGTTCTGCGGAAAACTCGCTTGAGTTTGTAGTTTTCACCAAAGTCCGTATATTTAATGGAAACACACAGGATTCGTATTTCTTTTAATGCACATTTCCCAATGATTGGAATCACTTTTGGATGGAAACACAGCTATTGTTGCAGCCTTCAAAATCCTCAGGGAGTATGCTATATGCTGTAACTTGCTAACTGGCTAATCACCATCCCCATCCCAAACAAGGTTAGCCTACTTGTTAGTTAATGTTATCTACCTGAATGTTTGCTATTAGCCTACTAGCAAACCGTACATTTCAGCTGAAGATTTCTACTCATAAAAGTGGTCACACAATGTGGTTCTTTAAGCTAGTATCTTTAGTTAAAACATATGGTTAGCTTGTAGGGTAATAGCAAACATACCAGTAGCTAACGTTAGCTTGAAAATAAACTCTGCTGAGGTTAGCTTTATAGCTATAGCATACTTACAGGGGATTTTGAGGGCTGCAGCTAATTTTGTCCACATTTTTCCTTCTCCACTCCACCATGGCACATATGTGAGTACGTGTCAAAGAGGCACTGCTGTTCACTCCACCACTCCACAGCTCCACGTTCGCCTCCTTTTCCACAATCCAAAATATGAGACAATTGTTCCAGTGGCTTCTGAGCATTTTCTGTTTGGTCCCGCCCTACTTCGCTGTGATTGGCTCATACTACTGCCCTGTGATTGGCTAGTACTTGTTCCCTCCAGTTTTCCAACTCAGTTGATCGAACTGTTTAAATTTGCATATTTAGCTACATTTGTCCAAAGATACTGGATTACTGCAAGATGGCCCACCTACAATATACTCCCATTGTATGAAATGGTACACATTTCCAGTCTCTTAAGTAGGCGTTGTCCCCTGTACCCCTAGAACTAGAGCTTAGATTCTCTGCCCGAGCCCGAGCCCAGCCTGACCCGGCCCACGGGCCCAAGCTGGGTCAGGCCGGGAGCCCCCCTCCCTCTGACGGGCCCAGGCCGGGCCGGTCAGATATGACGTTTTTTTTTTTTTTTTTTAAAGCTATGATTTGATAATGTTATAGGCTATGTATTGTAGCGACCCTGCAGTAAATGTTCTGTTATAATGTCAATGTTCTGTGAGTTAATGGCATGTTTGGGATTGAATGAGGTGCTGGGTGCGAGTGTGACGGGGATGAGAAGGGCTGTGAGAGCTGGAGAAGAGAGCAGGAGTGCACAGATGGAGTTACAACTAAGTTGTTGTTTGTTGGTTGTCGTGGTTACGGCCAACAATAACCTGTACTTTTCAGTAATAAATGGTGGTTTAATTGCCGAATAACTGTGTCATCCTTTCCACACGTCCTTGCGGATGCTACAGTATTATAAAAAATAAAATTAAACCATACTTTGTATGACACATAGCCTAAAGTTACAACAAACTTAGTTACAATGTTGCAACATTGTTCGCGCACAGCCCTTCACCACCTGGATCCTAAAATAAACACCTGTTTTATTACATAATCATGCTTCCATGTTGCGCCATTCATTAAGATCCTCTATTCCTGTCATTCAAATAACAAGAATTGTGGTTTAATACTCTTAATTATAACAGCCAATTTATTGAACAATGTCGGGTTTAAATCGGGCTCGGGCCCATAATTACAGTTAATTGGACGGGCCGGGCCGGTCCCGGACATAACGTGCACGGGCTCGGGCTGGGTCGGGCTGGATTTTTTGGGCCCAATCTAAGCTCTATCTTGAACAAAGTAAATTTTCTCCTGTCCATCCTAAAGGGGCGTGGTGGTCGCGAACCCCACGTGACACAGGATACAGGAAACTGATTCGCAGTGGACCATCTTGGTTTGGGAACTGCCCATTGGTCTGACATCCCATTGTTCCGACCGTATTAAACCCATTGTTCCGAAGTCCCGTTGTTCCGAAATCATCATGATGCCCTGTGGTTAAAGGAGCAATAAGCGAAATCATTTCACTGCTAGGTTCGCTGTTGTGCACTGCCTGTAGAGCAAAACAAAGTGTGTCACGAGCCACTCCTCCCTCTACCTCTGCAGCTGGGCTGCCGGGCTACTCACCTAACACAACCGAAACGTCTGACCCATTGCTGGGACCGAGCCGCTAATAACTCAAGCTCTGGACATTAACGCATGCTACGATTGTAACATTTTATTTAATTGAATCGACATAGCGACATGTGCTTAACATTACTGTAACACTAATTAAAACAGACATTTGACTTTATGTTGTACCAGGAGAAGAAGAGCTAGCTCCGAGTCAGATTGTAGCCCCTTTAGCTCTCGCAGTGCTCTCCACCTTGGAAATGCAAGGCCAATGTTAATCCGGGTTCTGTCCCTTTCTTTATCCGACAACTTCTTCGCCAACAACCGTTGTTTCTTAAGAGGTAATGTCAGATCCTGGTCGTCTTCAGGTGGACATTCCGCTCTCTGCCGTTTCATTTCGAAAATACACGCTGCCATTGCTCACTGGCTGTAGCCTTTTATAGGGAGGGAGGGCCAAGGGCTCAGAGAGGAGGAGGAGGGGGGGATTCACATGAACGTACATGAACGCGCAGCCGGACCGGCTTGTAAACAATGGGCTGGAGATCAACACAGAGAGAGGTTGTGTGAGGTCATGCTATACTCCAGATGAAATTACACCTCTAGTTCTTCACATAGCGATTTTTAATTCCTTCAGTCTAGAAATGATGAATTTTGCTTATTGCTCCTTTAAGGTCTGGTTAGGTTTAGGCACAAAAACCACTTGGTTAGGGTTAGGAAAAGATCATGGTGTGGTTTCAAATTAAAAACAAAGTGACAAACACATAAGCCGTGAGCCTGCTTTGTCACAAGCCTTTCCTAGCTGACCCAGAGCCGGTCGCGGCTCACCATCAAGGTAGAAATACGCCCGCCGGGAGCCATTCAGCACCGTGGACTGTCGGACTAATGGGATGTCGGACCAATGACATGGACCCCTTGGTTTATCCACTGTCTTTGATTTGTCTTATACCTGGTTCACACTACACGATATCAGCCTGATAGAGTTAATGCATCATGCCATCATTTCAAACTCAACACTTCCTGTATCTGTTTCAAATTAAAAGCCCCTTAAAACTTCGCTTGAGAAAACCCCTTCATTTTATTGTGAAACATTTGCAGTTGTGGAGGATAAAGAGGAGTTGTGAACAGTGATGATGCGTCCTCACATTTGTAAGGACATGTCTAAAGATAGAATGGAGAATAAAATAAGTTGACAGAAATTATTGCAGCCTCCAAAATACCCAGTAAGTACACTATATGCTATAGCTAGCAAGCTAACTGCTGCAGGGCCTACTTGCAAACAAATATTAGCTACTGGAATGTTTACTAGTAGCCTGCGAGTTAACTGTACATTTCAGCTGAAGCCTGCTAGCTTCAAAATTACATTGTGTAATCATTCATATGACTAAAGCAAGAACTCTTCAGTTGAAATGTACAGATAGCTCGTGGGTTGTTGCTAATATTACAGTAGTTAACGTTAGCTTACAAGCAGCCTTGTTTGAAATAATGAAAAATGGTTAGCAAGCTACAGCATATTGCATACTCCCTGGGGATTTTTTGCAAAAAAAAGAGACTGAATAAGTAAGAGAATTAAAAAAAGGAGTAACCCCAAGTTTCACAGGCCTTCATGCTGCTTTCTGCTGTATACTCACCTGTTTTCTGGCCTGTCCTATACATTAACTGTAACAAAGCAAAACTGTACACAGCTCTGGTGTTCGGGCAATGGGAGTCTATTGTCTATTGGAGTCTATAGCCTAGTTGAAGCGGGTTTACCCATTTTTTTTTACCCCCCCCCCTTTTTTTTTTAAACTGTGTAATGCGCTAATTTTCATGGAACAGGGCAATACATTTTCACTATGTAGTACTTTGATCGATTGTTGATATAAAAATGTCGCCTAGTGCAGCTTTAAATTAAAAAGTAAGGAGCTAAAGAATGACTGTAATGTGTGGCAACATAGTCAAACAAATGATTGGCAACTTGAATTCACATTTAACCAGTTTATGAACATTTTTGCAATCTCTCAATCAAATGATACGATGACTATATACCATATAATAGTGACTATCCTATGCTGAACCTCCAGTTAGGTCAGAAAACATATCAAACAGGTCAACAATGCAGCCGTCAATGAGATCTTACATTGTAAAATCAACTGTTTGAAAAAAGAAAGAAAGAAAAAACATTGTAAATGACAAGTGAATTGTGAATACTGCAAACTTTAAATGCCCATTATGCATTCAGGATTATAATGTGAAATGCATAAATCTAAAATCCTTCAACCATTAAATAATAATCATAATAGTTGTTCATGGTGCCATATGCAAAAATACACCTTAAGTAAGTTCCAGTATCAGTTCTCTTTTAATGGGGATTTTAAACAAACTGATTCAAGCTTATTGACATCAATACTTTCATGTTAATCTATCTGGGATGGAAAGGGTTACAGTGACCCTTAGCTTTAGTTTTGCGGGTATCTGAATCTCACCTGTCTGTTTTTGCAAACCCTTAAAAACGTGAAATCACATCCTGTGACAGTCTGCAGCTGACTGGTTCACCATCATTACAAGCACATAACTTAACATGTGAGTACAACAAAAGCATTCCCACATACATCGATCTCATCCCTGTTGTTTTGTCTTCAACACACTTCTTACTCATAGGTATGCACAGGAGTGAACTGGACAATAGCAGAACATCACATTATCAATCACTTGTGCTTTAACTATATTCTCATCACTGGAAATTTCTGTCTGAGGCAGACTTAAAAAAAATGTCCCTTGAAAATGCATCCACCGACTACAGAGCACAACAATCACTTCTGCAGTCTTGAAAACAGCGTCTGCTGTTTATCTCGGGGCAAACCAGGTTAAAAGCACACATTCATAACACCTGAAAAAAGCTTCATAGCAGCTACGCGGAACATTCATCATCATTCAAGTTGACTTTACTATCTTGACGTTCAGGAAATATTAGAGCTTGAGTCATCTGTGGATTGGACATGGACTGAAGCTATGTGAAAAACACCCTGGCCTCCACGGGTGTGTTTAAGTTGAAGGAGGTTTAAATCAAGTTTATCCAGCTTCTCCATCTCTTCATAATCAAATACTAGGGTGACAAATATGATAAAACTTCAGTCCTCTCTTTTGACTGATGGAGCATGTTTGAGTAAACAGCTTGATTGTAATGTTACTAAATATGTGAAGAAGCTAATTGAAGGAACACAGCACTGTTTTTGTTCATCTTAATCTATTACTATGCTAAACTCAATTTACAGACTTTTGCTTGAAATACAGGTATGTAATTCATCCCAGTGCACACAATTTATGTTTTTATTGTTGTCAAAGTTGTGTTATTGCAGGTAATGTAAGACAGTGGTTTTCAACCAGTGGTCCTTGAGAGAGTTCCAGGCTGTGTCCAGAAAAAAATAGGGAATAGTTTAATTTCACTATTTTTAATTCATTTTAGAAGAAGCCCAATGTGAGTAGAGGCCCAGACACACCAAACCAGCTTCAGAGAATTAGTGGCGACGAAGGGCCCCTGCTGCATCATCTGATGTCGCTGTGTCTTGGCCAAAAAGTTGCACATGTACACAAGCACAAAGACTACAGACTACCAGTTAGTATATTCTCCACCTGCGTGAGAGGAAATAACTCTCCTCACCAAAAGATGGTGGTGGTCTGTATTCGTCATTCAAAAAGATGCTAGTTAGATGCTTGATACTAGTTAGCCAGTTAGCAGATGCATAATACGATCCAATGTTGAAAGAACAGAGCATATTTACCATACGCCAGTCAACAATAACACAAACCATCAGGAAATGGTTCTGCTACAGAGCGCAATGGCTAAAGAAAAACAAGATCAACAAACAACAACAAACAACCATACCTCATAACAAGTTTGTGTTGGTCTCACTCCCTCTTGACTTAAACTTTTTTTATGTTCCTCACTTCCATTTCTTCTGTTGTGCGCTGAGCTGAACTGTGAATCAGACAGATTTAATCGAGGCAGATTCAACATGCTGAATTGGCCGAACAAAAGCTGACAAGCGCCGACCAGAGGCAACATTGCGGGACACACCGTACCAACTAGGGTGACAGACACTCACTGATAGCTTAACATCGACCAACGGCCAACCTATTGGCTTGGTGTGTCAGGGCCTTAAGGGATATAGAAGTGGCTATTCTGATCATGGGTTTTACTTTCTCCACAGTTATCTCCTCAATTGTCGATAATAGGGCTGCAACGAACATTTTCTTTCATTTTCTATTAATATGCCCTTTATTTTCTTGATTACTCATTTTGTCAATAAAATGTCAGAAAATAGAGAAAAATGCCCTGTGTAACTTCTGAGAGCCCAACGTGATGTCTTTAAATGGTATGTTTTTTTCCAGCCAATGGTCCAGGAATCCAGAGCAATTCAGTTTATTATCATGAATGACAAAGAAAAGCATCAAACTCTCTCACCAAACATGAAACCCGCTTTTTAACTTCAAAACTGACTAAAACAATTATTCGATTATTAAAACAGTTGCCAATTAATTTTCTGTCAGTCTAATCATCGATAAATAAATAAATAAACTATCGTTGCAGCTGAAGTCGTCAACTTCTGGTCTTAATCAAACCAACAACCAAAATCTTTTCAGATGGGGCGTCACTGGCTTAGTGGATAGAGCAGGTGCCAGCAGGTTGAGAACCACTGATGTACTGTAAGGCAAACTTTTGATTTGCATTACCACACAGATAACTCATCTTCAACAACAATAAAAGCAGATGTGGTGTTTAATGAGTAATGCAAATTCCCAGTCACTGCATTTACTTTTGATATCAATCACATATGAAAACAAAAATACAAATTTAAAAACCTAAAACTCTGGTATGTTTGTAGGAAAAAAGATCAAACTTTCAAAAACACTAGCATGGTCCTTTAGGTTGCTCTATTTGTTCTCACTTTTTCCCTTAGGCCCCAATCACACAGAAAGCATTTTGCAGGTTGCAAAACGTGAGGCGCACCACACTGCCTTCATGTATTTATTTATGTTTTAATTGAATGCCTTTAGTAAATGGACTAAAATGTATGGGTACATGAGACCCTAAGAAGAGGGTGGATCACAGGGAGTACCACCTGTTGGTCCAGGAGCTTCTCCTCGATGATGGCTGTTTCAAGTATTGCATTTAAATGCTTCTAGCCTGCTGTTTTCTATTGAGATGGTGAGAACAGCAATGTGTAAAGCTGTATAGCTCTGGGCATTCAGCAACCGCTGCCACCAGTTTCTCCTCCACTGTTTACCAACAGTAAACTTGTTGTTGTGACCACCCCAGAAGGCCCGCCTCTTAAATCATCCAATTGGAAAATGGGAAAAAAGTGGAGATGACCTAGGGCACTTTTTAGCTCTGAGTTCAAGGTTTTTCAGCTTGAGGAGTTGCAAAAACAGCGAGCAATACCTTTATTCTCATTTAAAACAATTACAAAAGCCACCTCCAGATGCTAAAATGCTTTCTGTGTGATCAGGGCCTTATACCCATTCTCTACCAACATGGAACCAGATCCATTCCAGTTTGTTCCACTAATTTGAACTGTACAGAGCATTTGGACCAAATTACAGATTGGTTCAAAACATGAAAATTTGGTTTCCCGCTAGAACCAAAAAAAAAGGAGCAGGTTTTTAGTGACTTGCAGTTCAAACTGTGATGATATTAGTGGGCATGTTCTACAAATTGGAAAGAGAGGATGGAGTCTTGCGCATAATAGTGTTCTTATCATTAGTACTTTGTCAGTGCTTGTTTTTTGGAGAAAAACAAATATATGTAATAACAGAACAAAAGCTCACAGGTAATCAGCATGATCCGCCATCCTAACCCTAACCCGTTTACTTCCATTATACATTATGCAACACCCTCCATTGATGACACATCCTTGGTTGTAATAGCTTCGCTAAAAACTGGAGGGAACATGGGCCGGTTCACTAAATAGCACCAAGATTCCAAGAATCCTGAACTGAGCTGGTTTCAGAACCAGAGCTAGTTTGGTGGAAAAAAAGTATGAGTGTCTGTGTGCATTTTCAGAGATATTCAAGAGCAATAAAAAACAAAACAAGATTTAGTAAGTACTATTTTCCAATTGTAGATGAACAGAAATATAAACACATGATTTGTGATAACTCGTTTGGCTCTGTGAATCCGAATAAAAAGCCTCAATTGCATAAAAGCCCACTGGTCAACCAAGGGAACCTGAGAACCACTGTGGCTGCCTGAGAAATTTAAAGGCTATTTATTAAATATGTTTGTATTTTTGCTGAGTTCATATCTGTGTAAATCATACTAGTTGCAACTTTAAAACAAGATTTTAAAAGCCAAATCTAACGTAACGGGGGGTTAGAAAAAATTTAATTTTACAAATTAAATTTAGTTGCCCAACTTAACAGCTGCACTGAGTGAGATGTCTGATCAGCACCATGTTGCTAATTAGACCCCCCACTAACCTGATGCTTTAATGACTACCTGTTTAGCAAGTTACATCTCTGATCATTTCATTCAACCTGTCACTTTAGAGAACAAAGTGGCACACTGACCAACACGTCTGTCCTAAATGACACTTCACATAAACAATCAAATTTCAGATTTTCAGTGCCTAGTGTGAATATGCCGTGAAGCTGCTATGACGCTGTGATTAGGTGTTTCATCTGATAATTGTATGCATTTTGAAAAAAAAAAAATACAGTGCAGGAATTGTCTGTACACATTTGTACATTTTCTACACACACTACGAAGGAAATAAAAATTTGGATGCACTATGCAGTAGGACTTTGCCTGAGAAATCATGGTGTACTATTTATTATTCTGAACTGTTTATCATGAAGGATCTTTTACTCAGATTTGCATACAACTGTAAAAATACAGTAAAATTCAACAATCACATTGCATTTTTTCCTTTTTTGTCATTTACTTAAAAAAGCTTAATGGTATTGTACAGATATTGAACAGGACATGACACAATAATAATAATCTGAATGTACACTTCAATATTGGGCAATAAACAGTCAACTATCAACAAGTTACATGTATTTTTCTTCTTTTTCCCTTTTCACATACAAAAAGGTTTGGGGAGACACAAACTCGGTAGTTCTACCATCATCAAATTAGTGCATGATTCAAATTTTTCCCTTCCTTGGATTGACACCGCTCACTCTTGGCGAGCCAACAGAGAACAGACTCTGATGCAAAGCCAGAAAGAAAAAGAAAGAAAACTAAGGGTGAACCACTGGCACTCTTAAATTTCCATTCTTCTTAAAGGACTAATAGTCTGTTCTTGCTGCTCAGTGCTGAGAGAAGCTTGGAGGTTGTCACATTTCACATCAGAACTTCATCAAGTACAGTAAGGTTACAGTCAGCAGGAGGCATACGGAGCAACGGGGCAACACAGCGGCCCCATTCACATCGTGCATTGCACCGGGACCTGCAGGAGAACAACACAACACTTTACTGTATCATCAGCGTTGGCACGTTTTACAGTTCAAATCAGCGCTGGAACCACAGCTCTGCTTCAGCATGAACTGTAATTAACTGGAATTCAGATGTTCATAAGGGCGTGGCTTATTTTCTCAGCCAAGTAAGAACTTTACATTGGTGCTGCAATTGCCATGGAAACTAGTGAATAGTTGAAATGAAAAGGTAAACCAGTGAAGAAGATGCAGTTGGTGACCTTCATGTCAGGATTGTTTTTTCTATGCGAGCAGCAGCTGGCATGCAAAGAAGCGGCCAAAAATAGTCCACTTAAAAAATAAATTACAATAATTTAAACATAATTAAACCATCACTGTGTTTTTTAGATATTTAGCATCTGTATTCTTACCGTAAAGGATTATGCTGGCATTAGTGATTCCCATGTTGTTCATGGCAACACAAGTGTAGTTCCCATAGTCTTCTTCTGAGACATTGAAAAAGACAAGCATCGACTGTCTGCCTTGATTCTCTATCTTAACCCCATTAAGACCATTGAAGAGCCTGGAAGAAAGAGGGGAGTGGTTTTCAAGGCTTCTGCTGGTGAGCAGGAAAGAACACAAACTGTAATTGTGCTTTTCTTGAGTCCTTTGAGGCCGCGTGTTTACTAAAGCGTTTTGTTGGATCTTAAGCACATGTACTCAAAAGTTAGAAGGGCATTGGAATTAGAAATACATTTACACCCGTGGGCTGTTTAAGGCAACATTTTTCCAACAAGGACTAAAACTGAATGCAGCTCACTGCCTTATTGAAGTAACTATGCATTTGTGCACTTCATCTCTGAGAGCACCACAACCCTCCTTCTGTTTCACTCATTGCATTTTAAGGTTCTTGTGAGATTTCAAGCACAGTTAAGATTTACATGAAATTAGGGATACATTTACACCTGGCATAGATGGATTACTGAACTGTCCCACTGGGAGCAGGCCCAGGGGCCCTAAGTGTCCCGTGGCCTTCATCTAAAACATGTTGCTCAAAATAACAGTAACAGACCGGGAAAAGACACACAAAGACCACAGCGAGATAAACAGGAAGTGCAAAGAGACACAAAATCACTATAAAGAGACAAATATGACCAAAAGGATACAGGGGACCTCAAAGAGACACAAAGTGACCTCAGAGAGACACAAAATCAACTCAAAACTCAAAATCAACTCAAAAGACAAACAATGACCTAAAAGAAACACTATATGACCTCAAAGAGACACAATATCACTGTAAAAGGACACAAAATTACCATAAAAAGACACAAAATAACCTCAAAGCAAGACAATATGACCCTTAAAGAGACACAAAATCACTATAAAAAGACACAAAATTACCTAAAAACAACACAATATTACTATATAAGCACACAAAATGACCATAAAAAAACGCAAAATTACCTAAAAGAGACACAGTGTTACCTCAAAGAGACACAAAGTTATCATGAAGACACAAAATGACTTCAATAAGACATAGAATGACCTCAAAGAGACACAAAATTACTACAAAAAAACAAAAACATGTCAGAGATAACATGACCTCAGTGAGACACAAAAGGACCTCAATGAGACAAAATTAGACTAAAGAGACACAAAAGAACTACACAGAGATGCAACAACACAAACAAAAAAGGCAAAAACCACCACAAGGTCTGTGTATATCCCTCTTTAATAGGAGAGGTGGTGGGGCCTTTGCACATCTGTACCCAGGAGCCAATTGTCTCATAATCCGCCCATGCCTGTAGGGCTGTAAAAGGCCAACATTTTTCATACTAGGGCTTAAACTCTGAATGCAGCTCACTGCCTTATCGGAGTAACTGTATGTATTTGTGCACTTCATCCTTCAGTGCACGACAACCTTCCATCTGTTTCACTTATTGCATTTCCTGTTTCATTGCCTTATTTCATGTTTGTGGATGCCATTTATTTTATCAGCGTCCTATATCTTTTTTATCTTGAGGACTGATTTTGTCTTTTGGGGACTGCTGTCACTGTCAGGGACCATTTAACAGTGCAACATAGCCTGTGTTTACATCAGCTTAGCAGCTCTGGGGCTGCTCATAAACATCCTTCCAGTCTCCAGCTTTCAGTCGGAAAAAATATTATACTATTATATCCTCCAAACCTCAGAGCCCCACACTACATTGACGTAAACCAATTACACTGTAATAAAATAATAGTTGCCTTTGGTGTCTATGCCTGTTTTGCAAATAATTTGACTGATTTTTATAAGAAAAAAAAGTAAAATTATGAATTTTCAGAACATGATCATCTTAATATATTAATCTTATTTCTCATTTTACAAGGACAGGAAGATCAACAAAGTTCATGCAGCCTGGCTTTTTTTTTCAAGTAAGGCAAGTCCACAACTGACAGCAGAATGGGTGTTTTTGTGTATCTCTTAACTTCAAACAATTCCAAGCCAGAAATCACAGAGCTTAGAAAAGAAACTTGCCTGCGGTCTTCTTTGTACCACTCAAAATCTGCCCTCGGGACGGCAGAGGCTTCGCATTGCAGGACTCCTTTTTGTCCAACTGCAGTTCCCGTACTCCTCGCTTTAGAAATGAAGGGAGGGTCTATAAAATAAAATGAAATACATTTTACAATAGCGGCAAATAGAAAACATAAGAAAATAATTTAGTGTTTTGAGCTTCATATGCCTATTTCTTTAAACATGCGGTGGCCAGGATATAGATAATGAGTTTGTTATGTTTGTTTGTTTGTTACACCTTCTAAAGACATAAAGCCCTATAAAACATTTCATAACAGCAATAAAAGAAAAGAAAATCATTTGTTAAAAAAAATAAAAATAAACAAACAAAAAAACAATAGGCTTAATTTGAGGATATATCTGCCCTGATCATTATATTTTCACCATGAATGGGATAGCTTGGGTCCTTACAGTTGACTGTGACTTGCACTGTCCTGCGATCAGAGTCTGAGATATCATTAGAAGCAATGCATTCATACGATCCTGACTGCTCTTTGGTAATGGCTGTCAGCACCAGATGTTCCGATTCCGTCACAAATTTATGAGTGCCTATGGAGAAGGAAAGACACAGAAGAAGAAATGCATTAGTAAATAGTGTAAGTCCTGTTGGTACATAATTGACCTGTGCTGACCTTGATAGAATTTTCACTTCCTGAATACATAGCATATATGTATATCATATATGGTACTCTATGTGCCAGACCAGCCATCACTCTGGATGGTTTGCTCAGCTTTATAGTACAGTAATTCATAGGGCAGTGCCAGGTAGAGGACGACATTGGGACTGGGCTCCCATGGGTCCCAACACAAATCTCGAGGGAACGGGCAGTTTTATCTTTGCCGCGGCTGGGAGCGAGTGGTAAGAAGGAAACGTGCGGGTCCTGGAGATTAATTATCATGAGGGATAGTGATGTCAACAAGAAAAGTGGAAAATAAGAGATAAAAACAGGACATTACAATACAAAAGAAAAGTGAGGCACGTTGATATTTGGAGGAATTTCTCAGTAATTTTACAGTTAACAATAATAACACTAAATTCCAGAATTACCAGAATAATTGCCATTAATTATGAATGTTATTATGCAGTAGAATGTAATACTACTACCCATAACCAACAGGTATGCCTATCTTTCTTAATAACATTGTACTTTCCCTGTAGAACAGGAGAAGACTCAATCTATTGATAAGTTTTGTCCGTGCATGTATGGTCAGAATGTTTGCGGGTGCGTGCGGGAACTGACACAAACCCCACGGGAAAGGGCAGAAAAAGATTATACACTGTGGGCTCAGGCAGTAATGGTCAGAAATCCAGTGAAAGCAGGCTGGAGTGGGATAAGGCAGGGCTCCAGTGCCAGGAAGCGTTTTTCCAGTAGTCTGTGTTTTAGCAGTGCTTGCCGCATGGCTCTAGCAATGGCAATGCTACTTGAGCGGTCAGTCCACCTCAGTGGTCCAGACTGAAATATTGAATGGACTGCCATGGAATTTGGTTCAGACCTTCATGGTTCACCACCAGCAAGTTTCACTTTCTCCAAGTCTTGGATTATGACAAAGACTGGCTAAATTGATGACAAACAATTTCTGCTCATCATCAATATATTAACATTATCATTGTGAGCATGTTAGAGTTTAGTTCAAAGCAATGCTGTGACTAACGTATGCAGGGTGGCAGTGGACTTTTATGGGTAAACCCACAAAAAATCTTTGGCCGCTGATAGCACCACGCATTGTGCATCACTTGCAACCACTATCTGTTCTGTTTCAAGGTTCGATTTACAAAAGATATTGCACCATTGATATGACAGCGTAAACATGTCCATGAAGTTTTGCAGGTGAGTACAATTTAATCATCCAGGTGGCAAAGCATAAACACTACCTTTGCGCCGGGAACACAGCAGGCAGAACAGACTGCTGACTACAGTTCCTGAACAACACAGTGCAGTTAAATTCCTCAAAACTTGGGACAGTACGAAAAGTCTGGGCGTGACACCCCTTATGAATTAGGGCTGTAGTCTCCTGGTCGATTATTTGGTCGCTATGCTCTCGTCCGACCAAATCCTCATTGGTCCAATAATCTCTGTGTTACTTTCATAAGGAGATAAATGCTACATCAACAACTCTCCAGGATTAATCCATTATTTCCTGCAGCAGAGGGACAGGCTAAGTTACCTGTGAAAATGGGGGTGTTTTCAAAACACCCCAGTCGTTGACAGAAAGTTGAACTCGCCCGCCCTCACGCTCAGCGTCGCGGTGACGCAGACCTCCTGTCTGTTTCTGTATTTCCCTCAGTGGAAACAAAGCTTGTATTTATTTGTATTTCACAGATAAGAAACGATAAATTGTGAAGACAGTAAAGCCTCCACTAAAATAGCATTTTAAGTCATGTGTGTGATTTATCCTTTAGGGATTTATACTCTGGGATTTATCCTGGCTTCATATGAACAAAGGAAATCTCCGCTCGTCACTAGTCTAATATATACCATGTAAAATGCCATAGGCTGGCGCTAATAACATTAGCATGTTGTATTTGTTTGGAAAACGTGTTTAGTATAAGACAGTTGTTTTGTCGGTGAATCTTGTGAGCTGTAATGGAGCCAGATCATGTACCATTACCTTTGTTAAATGTTGCTGTTGTCCCTGGTTTTATATGAGAAGAGGAAAAGATCGCTAGATGCTAGGCTATTTTATACAATGTAAAATGCCATAGACTTGTGCTAATAACATTTGCATGTTGTATTGGTGGGGGAAATGTGTCCATATAAAGACAAGTGTTTGTCTGTCAGTTCTGTGATTTATAGTGAAGCCAATTTGCATACTTGTGTTTGAAACTGTCTCTATTAAGCCATGTTTAATGTGTGTTTTGAATCAACTATATAAATAAAGTTTGATTTGAACTAAACTTTACAGAACCTCCACCGCTGAGGAGGAGGTGTAACTGCAGAGTGACACAGACACACCACCGCAGAAGTAAAAACAATGTGCAGATTTTTTTTTCCACGACTAATCGATTAATTTAAGAATATGTGCGACTTTAGTCGACCAAGATTTTCTTTGGTTGACTACAGCCCTATTATGAATGTGCCTCAGATACCACCAACTCTCTAAAGATGCTAATAATTTCACTGTATCTGCGTGTGGCTATTATTATCTGACTGTTTTCACATCAAGACTTATTTGTATAGAAAGGGGCCAATTTTGTGCCAAATGTATGCATTATACTTTATTTTAATATGTGCAAATGGCACAAAAGCACTCAGATGTTATTTGCTTGGCAGACCAGTCAGGGGTGCCTTTGAGATTACACAGTTTCTTATTGTGTTATTTGTGCTGGTTTGGATAATGCAAAAGCCTCACGAGGAGCTCAAGTATCTCGGGGTCTTGTTCACATGTGAAGGTAATATGGAGCAAGAGATGTATAGGCGGTTTGGCGCAGTATCTGTAGTGATGCAGACATTGCGCCAGACTGTTGTGGTAAAAGGGGAGGTGAGCCAGAGGGTAAAGCTTTCAATTTACTGGTCCATCTATGTTCCAACCCTCACCTATGGTCATGAGCTTTGGGTAGTGACCAAAAGAATGTGATTGCAGATACAAGGGTCCGAAATGAGTTTTCTTTGGAGGGTGGCTAGCCTCAGCCTAAGAGATAGGGCGAGGAGCTAAGACATCCGGAGGGAGTTCGGAGTAGAGCCACTGCTCCTTTGGGGCCAGGTGAGATGGTTTGAGTATCTGATCAGGATGCCTTCTGGGCACCTCCTTTAAGAGGTGTTCCAGGCACGTCCAACTGGTAGGAAGCCTTGGGGCAGACCCAAAACACGCTGGAGGGATTATATATCTCATCTGGCCTTTTCACCTCCTGGGCACTGCCGAGGTGCCCTTGAGCAAGACACCGAACCCCCCCCCAACCACTCGGGGTGCCTGACCAAGGCAGCCCCTTCACTCTGACATCTCTCCACTTAGTGCATGCATAGGTCCTGTTTGTGCATGTGTGTTCGGACCTGTGTGTAATTGACAGCAAGAGTGAAAAAATTTAATTTCCCCTCCAGGCTAACTAGTAATCTACATGACTAGAAATTGACCTCAGCATATAACAGCAATAGGTTGGTCCTTTAAGCAGTGCATACACCTGTACGATCAGTGTTTCATTAATTAACTTTAAACAGAAAGTAAAAGCATTTATCTTGTGCTATTTGGTGCTTTCCTACCAGTGGGATTAGAGGAGAAGGGGAAGATGGAAAAATAAAAACAACAGATGCCTTTTATAAATAGAAGCCCACAAGACTGTACTGGCTGACTGAATAAGACGTTATTGATACACCATGGGATACACTGTTAACAAAGTAATGATTTTGCACAAACCAGTGGATGCAAAGATATTTTGATAACACATAACTCTTCTTTTAATGTGATGATATGTAAACTTAAACAGATGAGGACAATCTTGCAATTATCTGTGTCAACAATCTTAATTTAAGAAGATAAATAAATTTAACAGACTGCAGTGGCAGTCTGTCTCTAAATTTGGGATTTTCTCTGTTTTCAAATTCTCCGGAGGGCAGACAGCTCAGGGCATGCACTCATTACACAAAGAAAATAAACTAATTGCATCGAAACAAGCCCACTTGAGTAACAGCACAAATTACCCCTGACACCAGCAATGTTAAAAGCATGTTCTGGTGACAGAGAGACCTTAAGCTATTGCTGCGTGGGTGGGAAAATGGATAGGAGCACTAATCCCAATCAGCAGAAATGTCAATCCAGCAATATCTCTACATTAGCATAATATCATTATGTTTTCCAAATCCTCAGCTGCAGACACTGTTGCAGCTGGCAGGGGATTCACTGAAAAGGTTGTGGGCTAGGGATAATCAGCTTGTTGCATGTAACCAGGGGAGCTGCTAGCACAGGTATGGAACATTCTCATCATGGATAACTATATTAGGCAGACTGTGGGGGACAGCATGCTGTTGAGTTACTAGCTGGTTCTGTGCAACTGCTTTAATGGTGGCCAAGAGTGGAAGGAAGTTTGCTGTCAAATTCTAATCTGATTACATCATTATGGCTCATTACTTTGTAGATTGCATAAACAGTATATTCAAGGGCAGACTGGCCATTGGCAAGTTTGGGAAGTCTCCCGAACTGGCTGGTCCATTCCAGGCCAAACCAGCTAGTGGTCATAAAGTTTTCATTTTTTAATTTCTGATGTCAGTAGTTATGGTCCTCAGCCTGCTGCCTGGCCCTCGCAGCCACAAACAGCACAGAGCAGAACACTGCCTGTCAGACAGGGCCAATCTAAAACTTTCAATATTGGGGGGGAATATGAGCATCCCCTCCTAATTTGGACAAATTCTTGTTTTTTGTTGAGATCTGAATGGCTCAATCATTTTCATCTTGAAGAGTTTCCATCTGTCTGACGTTTTTGTGGCAAACATAATTAGCAACTAGAATCACCGCCTCATGGTTGTTTGCCTCCACAAACCCGTCACGTCGCAATTACAGTTTACATCCATGTCTGTGAAACAATGGTTGCTTCAAACACATCTTTCCCCCAGCAGGGC